TTAGTGTGTGGAGTTCATGACCATTTTACGATTATAGTGAATGGAAAACATTTTTAAATCTATTATAAACTAATGCGAGAGTGATCAAGGGTCGTGTAAACATCATTTGCGACCGAAATTCGGTGTTTTAATATGTTCATTACATGTGGTACTAAAGACACGATATGTGGTATTATAGTCCTAAAATGTGGTACTATATGAACTTATGACTGGTACTACTTTCTACAAATGTTGACCACAATTGAAATAATCCATCTTGGTTGACCAAAAGTAGGTACTAACTCATTAAAAACAGGTACTGCGTAGAGGAACATGTGGTACTATATATGCTAAATTCGGTACTACTTGAAGAGTCGTGAATTTTCTATTCCTTCGTGTCTACCATGTCACTAATAATTGCTAACGTTGACCACAATTGAATAACCCATTTTCGTTGAGCAAATGTTGGTACTAATTGACCTAAAACAGGTACCACGTACAACAAAATGAGGTACTATTTTCCCCAGAACTGGTACTTTCATTAGTGTACAAGGAGATTCGGATTGTTAATTAATCTCTTTTTTTTTTTATGTTTGTCGGAGTTGGTTGAAAAATATTAGTTAATATAAGTAGAATTATTAATTAATATAATAAACAGATTGTTCACCCATGATATGGTCATAATATCGTTTTTTATTTTTTAAAGTTCGTCGAAGTTGGTACTGAAAACCTCATATATTGTACTAGAACACATATAATATCAGTATTATCTTACACTTTGTCTGGTACTAATTTTGCAAATGTTGACCACAATTGAAGTAATACATTTTTGTTCTTTCTGCAAAGTAGGTACTAATTCATCAAAAACTGGTACTTCATAGAAGAAGATATTATATGTAAAACTGGTACTGTTCTGATGAAAACAGGTATCCTTAAAAAACTTGCACATCTTGTTCAAAGAGAAACCAAAAATCTACTGGAAAATGAGTATTTTTACACTAAAAATGCGGTACTAATATTAAAAAAACAGGTATCATTAGGAATCAAATCAAAAAAATCCAAAACATTCATTAAACTACATAGTCCACAAACCATCATCCATCAAACAATCAAATTATCAGACTACTTGTTCACAAACCACAAACCATCATCCACAACATCACAACATGACACCTTCATCCACTTTGTCCACAATCAGCCATCAAAGTCAAATCATCAGACTACAAACCAAAACATCCAATTTAAACAAGTACTAAACACCAGCCAAACAACCTGTCAAGAAGGAGGATTTCTAAGGATGAGTGCTGCCATCCGTGCTCGATAGCCATTGACTGAACAAGTATTTAGGCTCGTCCGATAGTCTTGAGTATCGACACCGTAACATTCCATTTCCATGCAAACATGAACTCCACAATCCTTCGGCCCGGTCTGCTTCCTCAGGTATCCTAAGCGAAAACTCTTGGTTTCATGAATGGCAAATTCAGTTTTCACACTCACATATCCTGCGAGGAACTTAGCCTACCAAAAAAAAAGAAAAAACAACACAACAAAAGACATGACTACTTTTTCGAAAGAAAATAAATAATAACTACAAAACAAAGTTTAATATGTCAATAACACTTACCAAAAGTCTCCCATCTCCTCGGTACTTCGAATTATCCATCAAGTTATGATACACAAAAGTTTGTTCGTCAACGTTGAAAACAACCAGGAAGAAGTTAAAACCGGAGTGCACCGGAAAAAACACATACTTCACCCCATTCAAGGACCTGATCAACTCATCGAGTATGACAACAGTACTTCTGGTCATCTTAGAAGTACAATCATCGTAATCTTCACGAAACCAAACTTTTTTGTTCTTCTTCATTTCTTTAACCGCACGCAACACATCAGTCTACAAATTAAATATTTTCTTAGCACTTTAACAATCTGTAAATTTAATAGAGTATAGTAAAATAAAGTACCTGAATATATGTCGGCAGAAAGCGAACACGAGGATAGCGACCACGCAGGATCTCCATGAAGCAATCAATGAGTTCAGAATTCAGCTCGTTCCCGAACAAAAGATCAATAATTAATTTTCCTCGGATCAGCATACTCTCATTGCTCCACACAATTTTGCTACCAAAATTTGCAATTCTAATTAGTATATTATAAACAGAAATGAAACGATTAAGAAACTGAAATAATTTCTATTACTTCAGTCGATCGCTCGTCAGAAATGATAGAATGGCTGCACGATCCTCTTCCGGAATGGCCTCATGGCCACAAAAGTCTTCTCTCCCTCTAAACTTAATCAAAGAAGACTCATCACAGGTACTCTCCGCACTCTCCTACATTACAAAATAATTAGTTAGTTATATCAAAACAACAAAAACAATAACATAAATTACAGAAATCAAATTGATAGTTTAATTACCACATCATTACTCACGGTAGTGGACTGCAATTCTTTTTTCTTCTTTCGTCTCTTCGGAGCGGATGACGGGGGGGTCATAAAATCGACCGACTTTTCTTTTTTTTATTTCCTCCCCCGCCGCTCCCGCACCCTCTTCACAATAGAGGAGGCCTGTGGCTTCTCCTGCCGACTTGACATACCGACCGAATCCATCACAGCGTCGGTGTGAAGAGGGGCCTGTGGCTTCTCCTGCCGACTTGACATACCGACCGAATCCATCACAGCGTCGACGAGTCGGTCCAAATCATCCTGCTCTTCAATTTGTTTCTCAAAGGGTACCAAGGCCCAGTCTTATGTTTCTTTTTCCTCTTCATCCTCCAGATTCTTCTCTTCCTCTACCTCCTTCTCTTTCTCCTTTTTTTCTTCTTCCTCATAATTGGTCGGGACAAAAAATCCTTCACTAGCAGCAGAAGTTTCTCGTTCATCCTCAGCAGCAGCTGCTTCTGCTTCTGCTTCTGGTTCCTCTTCAGTCACTTTTTCTTCTTCCTTTTTTTCTCTCTCTTTCTCTAACAATTCAATTTTTTTTCTCAATTCTTCATTTTCTTGCACAACCATGGCCAGTATACGGGTCTTCATCGTTCCCTGTACATAAAAGATAAAACATAATATACTAATGTTAAAACATAAATATATTAATGTTGAAACATAAATATTAAAGGCAACCAGACACTCCACAAAGCCACGCTCGGCAACCACTGGCGATATCGAGTACACCTGCAAAGCAAATCACAATGATATCGATTAACCAAAAAAATAAAAAGAAGAAGAAAATATAATACTATAACACTATATAAATTACCTTATGTCTCATCACTTTTTGAAGGGATTTTAAAGACCCTTCGAGTGTAGACGGTAAATGACTCCCCGTCCATCGAAATAGATGGGGAATCGCCTCGAGCGTGGAGCGTTTGCCCAGGGAAGGCACCCGCTCGTACAACCAAGCCTACACAAACATGATTTCAAAATTACACAATCCTACAAATAAATATTGTTGTAATATTATTGTATTAAGAAATTGAAACACATATATACATACCATCAAACCCACAGCACAACCATCGAAATACGAGCGGTCTCTGGAATCGGTATGACGCACCAGCTCAGCAACAAGGAATTTGTGAGTAGCATCTCCCCTCTCCCCATGCATACTCACAAATCCTACTCACATCCTCTAGGTAAGGATAAACAAACCTAAGGATAGAGTAACTAGAACAGGGAAACAATATACAACTAAAAACAAACAGACTGTACATCCTGATGAAGTCGTCAACACGACCTTCATCCACAGAACGACACCAGAAGGCGGGTTGGAAGCCGATGACAACCGAGGGAGGCCGAAGCCGCATAAGCTGCTAAGTAGTCTGCAGCAAAGTTCGCCGATGTGGGAAATCTTCAACTGCCAGTCTCGACTGAGAAGCTTTCGTATCTCTATTATCAAACCAGAATGGACCCCTTCTATATCCTCAGTATTATTAGGGAATCCCACGATTTTGGAATTGTCGACTTCAGCCTCTACTCGAAGATACCTCAAGCTCCATGCTAAGTTAAGACCCTGAAATAATCCCCATAACTCTGCTCCAGTTATAGAGTCTATAACAGTCTCCAATGTTCATCAAGAAGCCACCGAGCCATATGCCATAGGAGTCACGAAGCAACCCTCCCGAAAAGGCCGTACCTGAGGATCTATTCTGGGCTTCATCTGAGTTTAACTTTATCCATGAATTCGGCGGCAGTTCCCATCGGACAAGACGCTGGACACGAGCAGTTCCTATACTATCAATCTTCTTTAACCCTCCGGCAAAGTGCAATACACTATTGGCGAAAGATCTGATGTTATTCAATTTCCCAAAAGCATCCATCCCTCGGATTTGAAAGAAATGTTTCGCCAGAGCCATAATTTCCACATAGTTACACGAAAGTACACTCCCAGGTATCAACGTCCACGGGGGTGTAAGCCGGTTTAACAAGTTTGACGTAAGTCAGACCTGCAACTCTAGCCCAAAGAAAGTCGGTTGTGCATCTGCCAGAACCAGGCGGAGCCAGACCTGGGTAGCATCCAGGAAGTCCCAGAGGACATGCAAGAGGGTTTCTTCTCTAGACCGGCATTTATGACAGCACACCATCAAGGATAAGTGCATTTGCCCTCTTTCAACATTCGTCATAGGCGACCCTTAAAAACAAGCCAAATGAAGTTTCGAATGTTTGAAAAGTGATGTGTCCAATATAAATTTCTTTGAAATAAATCTTTTGTAGGAATTACTTTTTTAAAAGTTTTTATTATTTACACCGAACATCTTTTTATTTTCTTTTATTTAGAAAACAGACTTTTATATTCAAAAGTCTATTTGAGCTTCCAAACATTTCCGGACTTTGTGAAATTGCAAATGAAAACGTGAAGACTATTTAAAAAAATTAAACAAATCCAAATTAAATACACAAAGACTCATAAAATCTCAAAATCTTTAAACCGGAACGATAAACGGCTCAAGTTTAATCAATGGCTAAATAAATCAATGTACCATCACTTGCAACTTTTTAGAAAGACAGACAAATAAATAAGTTCCAAATTTGTAATGATTCCGTCTTTAGTGCTTATAAACATTGTTTTGTATTCAAGTTGTATAATCAGAAAATGAAAATACATAAAGTTACACATATATCACCAAAGTTAAAAACTATAATTCCAATCAGGTCTAAGGTAAACTGATGGCTTGCATATTGTTGTATACTGTATTTGACTAAAGAAAAGAATCTGTTGATGCTGAGAATCACAAGTTTGTATAAGAGAAGTCTGTCCTATGGAATTTGTGCAATTTCGATCAGTATCTTATGCAGCGATTGAGGCTTTGAGAAGAAAGGGCAATGGTCGCTGCCTTTGATGTTGAAGACTCGTTGAGGTGGGTTTTCCCGGACGAGCCTCTCTTGGACCTCCGGCAAAAGGGCATTATCGTCCAGCGTTTGGATGTAATAACGGTGCCCGGATCCGTATTTTTTTGCTGATAAAGACATTTTCTCCATTATTGGGCCAAGTGGAATGGGCTTCATTGACACCATTGCTAGAGCAATATCCTGAGACGAGCCACCTTACAATCAACCTCATGATATTTATTCGAAACTCAAGTTACACTTCAGAGTCTTGATTAATGCAACTCGAAGGTGGATAGGACTTGTGTTGATCAAAATCGACGAGCGATTGTTTTTTTTCATTTTACGTTTATCTCTGTCATAAACTCAACTAAAATGTTGACTGAAC